GCACGCACGTATGGAATTATAATCCGAAATGTATTAGAAATCGACATTCATTCGAAAGTTGCTAGACGTTGGAATTACTCGTTCTGAATTTTCACTGCATACATTAGATTGGCTGGCAACTGATTTACGAGGGTCTCGTCAGGTTGGCGTATATCGAAAATTAAATTTTCCACGCCCCGGTATCTTGCAAAGAATTTTCTGGCGCCGTTATCTTCATCGAGGAGGAAAATCGCGCTATTATCTGCTTCGATATACATAGGGTTCGTCAGCTACTTTTATTCTCACCACTTTCCTACGAGCAATAAATTTATAAACAAGATAGAAGCTTCACGGCAGACCGAGCAATTTTTCTAATGTTCCGTGTGCTTTTTGCGTAATGGAAAAAAGACACGAATATTTTTTTAACTGTCAGCTACGTATAATTTTCTTTGCGTTATATGAAAACGATTAGTGAGATAAATTCAATGACTTACAATGTATTACAATGGGATTATTAAAACACAAAATATATAAAATACAAAATAATAGGAAAATTACATGAACACTTTGCAACGTCAATAACATTATTATAAGATATGACTACTTTTACTGTTTGGAAAATTCTATAGTTTTGGGCTCTGAATTCGCTTTTTGAAAACTTGAGGAAATTTTTCGTTTTTATATTTTAATGATACTATCCTGTAGTTTATTATACATTATAATACATTGTAATATATTATTTATTTATATTATATAACATTGATATATATATATATATCTCCTTATAATTATTATGTTGAAGGAATTACAGCGATCAATTTAAAAACGCTTAAATATCATTTACAACTTAAAATATCTAATCAGAACATCGTATCTTTATCTTTTCTATTTTTCTCACAAATCTGCCATTTATGAATAAACGCAAAGAACTAACAGCTTAACTATTTATGAGATGTACAGCATAAAAAATGCTGGCGGAAGTTGGTGCAATTTCCTGAGATGGTTTTCTTGTTTCAAGATTCCAGGAAAAGTTCATTTCCGCGTAAAAATCAGATACGTCTCGAGCTGCAATCTGCTTCGCAGTCGTACGCGTTGCGAGTTGTGTTTTCCGAACTCCAGCCATGAGAAAAGTTTGCATGAATGACTATTTACGTCCAATATAACACGTACGAAAATATACACAGTAACGATAAAACTTTATTACACTCTTTTGAAGTGGGTGCAGTGTGTTAAAGCAAGAAAAACAAATGTCACTTTTATCTGAAAATGTTACATTCTCTTTCCCTTCTGAAAACAAACTTCGCTACTATTGCAAACGTTCAAACAAAAAGAAACGAAGTTCAGCAAGCAAGTTGTAAAGTAAACCAAAGGCTGGGAAAAAATTTGCGTAGTGAACTTTCACATACCTGCACACATGTACATGGTACATTTATATGAAATGTAAAAACAAATATTCGTACAAGCCTGAACTCTCTCCACGATTTTGAAATTTAAGAAGAACGAAACGTTCGAAAACGTTAAATATAATATAACTAAATAAAATAAATATAATATAACGAAAAATTATTACATATAATAATTCTTTTAACAATTATTATTTTATTTTATTTATTTCTTGTTGGAGAAACCAAGCCTATGCCTCTATGAGTTACTCTTTAAAAAGTGACTGCAACTAACCAAACAAAAATAAAAAAGGCAGAATATCGCTGTCCACCCACGTTTAAATAAAATGGTTGTTGTGTCTCTCTCCCACTCACACCACAATCCATGCATGAATCAACATTTGCAGCCACATACACACACATACTGCTCACAGTAATCCAGCGTTATACCTTAAATTAAATATATAAAAAAAAAAATACTTTATACTTCTGATTTCAGAGATTCAGTAAATTTCAGAGAAATTGGAAACGCAGCTTTTTTTGAGAGAATGAAATATAAAGTCGCAGCTGCCACGTGTTTGCTTGAACATCCTGGCTCCTAACCCATAGCGTGTGCTCACGTTTAATTCTCTCGAAACAAGTTAATCTTTGATCATTCCTTAAAACAGAATGTCGAGAATTATGATAGACAGAATGTTAATCTAACCATAGTTCTCTGACGACGCGCTCTATAATATGTAGTGTTATGTAATACGAAAACTACCGTGCATCATATCTCATCTCAGACCGCAACAAATTTGCTGCTGTTAGATCATAATTTAATGGTAATTCCACCAGCGTAAAAGATCTCAGACTAGAACGCTTTAATTAAACATTACGATTGTTAACATTTTCAAAACAGACTAGTCTTGCCGAAAAATTATGACGCTATAATTATTATTTCGACTAATTATAACTAATTATTTCAATCTATAATTTCCACTGAGTCGTTAATAAGCTACTATAGCGATTGACGTAATTGTGAACAGTCGGCTAAAAAATATATTCCTCTTGCTGATGCTGAGATTGACGCATGGAAAAAATATTTTTATTGTACGCGCATAATATTCGTATTTGCGTATTGTATGAATCTACTGCTTATACAAACAGTGATATACGTATATCGATGTATTCGTCAACTTTCTCGTATAATTCGAGAATCATGTGCATCCTGTGCACTTTCTCCGAAATGGAAAGTACCGAGCCACTCTTCGCCACGGTGCAACAATTATTTTGCATTGAATTACGAGTTCAAGATACCGATCCATCGCTTACGCAAGTTTATTACGCTTCTGCATTTGTTTAGTCTTCATTATATCGACTGCGTACTGCACTGAATATTAATGTCGTCAGTAAACAAGAGATTTTAATGCAAACTCGGGTTTCTGAAACAATTTGAAAAATAGAGTCTCTGTGGAAAATTTCTACCTACGAAACGTTACGCAAACCGCCACATTTTGCATATTTGATACGCTTTTTCATATCGCGTAGATTTTGCACAATTTTGCAACTTTAAATTTCCCACAAATGCATAAAAATCCGTCTTGTCATAAGCAATAATTACGAGAAAAAAAAACATTAACACGACGACTACCTACGTACTCGATACATTTTCACGTAAGAAAACAAGCAAACTTGTGGACAAAAGTTCGAAACGAATGAATTTGGACTTTAAACTGAAATATTTTTTCCGAAAGATAAGAGCACGTTTGAAACATCATTTCAAACGATACGAATATAACGACATAATGAACGAAAGAATAATCAAGCAGTCAAAGAAAATCGAATATCGATATGTATTTCAAATAATGTATTCAGAGCAGGAAATTTCATTTGTTCCTATCGAACATCGATATTTTTATCTTCCGTAGAGTTTAATGTTCGCTCGTTGATTCCAGTAAAATTAGATGAGAGCATAAAAGCAATCAAACAAAAGAGACGACTATGCGACGAGAATTTAACAAATGTTAAAATTTCGATTGAAAGAACACGGAAAGCACGATACGTAAGAGCAACGCGAAGAAAACAAAGAGACGTTGAAACGTCTATGAAAGAACTAACAACGTGAATATTATACTACGAACTGGAGAAGTCACGGCGAAGAAGAAGACGTTGCAACACGGTCATTTGCTCGTGAATGTTCGCTAGACTTCGCTGTTTCCTCTTATCAAAATAAGTTTAAGAAAAGTCTTTGTCTAAGGTTCTCGACGTTTTCGCGATCGATAACACGACAACAGCTTAATATCCTCTTGAAAAGAAAATGTTTCGTTGTTATGCATCCTTATTTTCCTGCTTGTTATCGAAAGAATATTCTGTTACTAAGGAACAATATCGTCGTTATTGTGTATACCCAGCGATGTACTTTTTGATGCATCGATCGATATAACTCGTTGCTTCTCCAAAAATATTCATTAAACTATCGATCTTAGGTAAATCATCGATTCAAAAGATGTTTTAACGTCGTATGCAGCGGCTCACGAAACTATTCGAACGTTCCTAGAAACATTTTATGTTCGTTTTATACAATTTGTACAATATATTATACATATTGTAGAATTCTGAAATTTCATTAGCTCCGTAACGAGATACGACTATCGAGATTACGTTGGTAAAATCTGAATGAACCTGAAAATGCATATAAAAATTGCGAGATATTTATTGGAAGCATACACTTCGCAAAGATCACCAACGTGTTTCAACAGCCCATTATTCAGCTCCGCTCCCTAGCGGCTTAAATCCAAAAACTGTATCATACAACGAAAAATGTAAAGCACCGACACATAATACAGCATGGCTACGTCATACCACCGCGTATCGGTACCTTTGCCTAACATACCATTACAAAAATTCACTGTTTATTGTGAACAGTGTACCTAAAACTGTATTCTTGGACTCAATAAACTTTAAATCTCAAAAAAAAAAAAGAAAAAAAAAGAACAGCCCATTATTCGTTGTATTAATAAGCCACCATATGTAGAGAGACCATCTGACGATAATTGTTGCTAATAAATATATATTTAAGAACTGTATAAATGAACTTGAATACTATTCAAATTGTATACCAATAAACAATATCAATAAGTCTATATATATGTACAATAAATGTCTTGTAACTTCAGTATGCATTTTCTGTTCGCTTTCAAACGTTCCAATTATAATCAAGACAATCGCGTCTCGTTACAGTAATCACGAAATTTTTAAAAAGTTTCATACAACGCATCCGATATGTTGGTAAAATAGCTTCGCGAGGCGCCGTATATTCGACGGAATTGTAGGACATAATCTCACGCTGTTTCTTTAACTACAAGAGCAAACATCTATTAGGTTAAAAGCGTTCAACCGTTTCTTGCTGTTCGGCAAGCGAAACAATTCTAATCGATGCTCGATACGAACGAGTAGTTGTGGCATGTTGGCGCGCAGCTGCTTCGTTTGATACGAGGACATTTTCACGAAATCGTTAACAACGGTCAAGGATCTGTCGTTCGTCACTTTGTCCCGATATTAGCAGACAATTGGAAGCAGAGTACAATGCCGGCAAATATAGAATATCGATATTATGTAGGTAGTTGAGTGGGTGGAAACAATGAGGAAGATACAAACCAGTGAGCACAGCGCCGACGAGCATGAAGAGAAAGCCGAATGCCGGAAGAGCAATCTGGCAGTTCGCAGCTATTACAACCCCAGCTACCATGAGACCACCCTCGATCTTCTCCACCCTCAAGCGTGATATAGGGGTTGGACATTTTAATTTCGCCCCAAGTCCGCCACTCAGCGCACCCTCCTCAGCCGCCATGGTGCTGGGCCTGGAATAATAGATAAACAACAATGCTTTTAGTCAATTGCACCCGCATAACAGGACGATACTGATTCTCAATGAGTTGATAATAATGTTAACGAGCGACAATGGGAACGACGCGCTTTGTCTGCGACGACGATCCGAGTGTTGCCGGATAAAAGAAACACCGCGTTTGACGATCATTTGAAATTTAACAGGTTCTCTGACATTTCTACATTTATTTGTTTCGTCTGAAGGAAAATATACTCGGTGGCGATTAATTAATGATTCTTAGACAACTGGGTGTATTCTATGTTGAATTATCGCCATGGAATCGTATTAGCGTACAAATTGTATTCTATTATTATTTTATTATTTTTATTACTATCTTATTCTATAATATTATTATATTATTTTATTATTGTTACATATGGTCAGATTAAAACACTCAGAGTCATGTCTTGGAAATATTCTGGAAATTGGAAAGTATCAGTAAAATGAAGTAAAAATTAAATGCAAATTTAATACCGTAGATATTTATATCAGAATTGTAAAATGTCCATTTCTTTGGCGAATTAAAATTTCTAGAAAAGCACGAAACATGTGAGAGGAGCTGCTTGATTATTGTTATTGATCGTTAAAAAACGCGCATGTTACAAATTCATTTCGATGTCCTTAGAAAATATGCAGAATTCTACAAAAAAAAAAAATAGAAATTTACAAAGTTATTGAAAGCGCGATTTATAACAAAAAAAATTCGCGGAAAAAAAATTGGGCTCAGCCGGGATTTGAACCCGGGACCTCTCGCACCCAAAGCGAGAATCATACCCCTAGACCACTGAGCCGCTCTGTTTGTTCTTTCCTATACTTTCACCACAAGGTGAAGCTCGTACTAAAAAATTCTACTATTTTCCAAATTATTCTTTCCACGTGTTACCTACTTACGTCAAAACGATCCAATTATAACAAAAACATTTATACGTAAATATAAACGTACGTATAAAAGAAGAAAAACATCATCTCGACATAATTTTGATCGTTTCTTCCAACTTTACTTCTAAAAACATTACGAGGATGATTCTTATGTTTAGAGAGAATGTTGTATGCAAAAAATATATTTTTGCAAAAAAGTTGCGAAAAAGTACACGGGCTCAGCCGGGATTCGAACCCGGGACCTCTCGCACCCAAAGCGTGAATCATACCCCTAGACCACTGAGCCCCTTAGCGGAACAGATTTCGGGATACAAAATTCTGACTGAGAAGAATTTTACTTTATAAAATCTCTTTCCCTTGTTAATTCGTTGTCAAAATTAAGCAATACATATCCTAAACATATCCTAAATAATAAAGACGAGACATTTCAAAAACTGTACTTTGTTAGACTCTTTTACACAGCTATTATTCCAATAAGAGTATCTTATGCTTATTACGTGCATATATTTCGTATATTCTACGAAATACGTACGTTTCGTACGCATGTAAGTTTCAAGCGAAGAGTTTGATACTTTTAACGAATATCATAATACGTACTTTCTATAAAATAGGAAATTACAGAGGGACGATTAATTGTTTGAAAGGAAAATTTTCTTCTAGTAAGAAGACTTCTTTCCTTGAACATATACAAAATATTTTTAAGGCTTCTTAAAAGCATAAAATTGTAGCTTAATATTCAATTTGAGGCTTCATTTATTTAGAAACGATGCATCATAATGGCATTGAAACATCACAATTTCTTTATCTGTCATTAGATTAACTTATACGCCACAGTATACTACATATTCTATATTAGAAGAATTAATCGTGGAAATATTTTTCTAATTTATCACACCTATTAACTATAGAAGAAGAAGACTTCCTTCCTTGAACATATACAAAATATTTTTAAGGCTTCTTAAAAGCATAAAATTGTAGCTTAATATTCAATTTGAGGCTTCATTTATTTAGAAACGATGCATCATAATGGCATTGGAACATCAATTTCTTTATCTGTGATTAGATTAACTTATACGCCACAGTATACTACATATTCTATATTAGAAGAATTAATCGTGGAAATATTTTTCTAATTTATCACACTCATTAACTATAGAAGAAGAAGACTTCCTTCCTTGAACATATACAAAATATTTTTAAGGCTTCTTAAAAGCATAAAATTGTAGCTTAAAATTCAATTTGAGGCTTCACTTATTTAGAAACGATGCATCACAATGGCATTGAAACATCACAATTTCTTTATCTGTCATTAGATTAAGTTATACGCCACAGTATACTACATATTCTATATTAGAAGAGTTAATCGTGGAAATATTTTTCTAATTTATCACACTCATTAACTATAGAAGAAGAAGACTTCTTTCCTTGAACATATACAAAATATTTTTAAGGCTTCTTAAAAGCATAAAATTGTAGCTTAACTATAGAAGTTAATTTCGATAAGACGTATCTATAATTAGAAATATTTCGCAGCAATTTTCTAAGTTTAGCAACTAATTAACACGATGTCCATCATCTGCTATCTATAATATCTTATTTCCAGGTACTTTGAGTAATGAACATTTCATATAGATGAAAGTGTACGGATCGATAATATTAGAATATCAACGATCATTAATTTCTCGATGCTCTAACAATTGACATTAAGTAGTTTGCATACTGCAGTTCTTATTATATTCGCTTACAATTAGAAGAATTGTATGCCACTAAAGAGCATCCTTCCTAATTTTCTTCTTCAAATTATTTATTATTACGTACTATTATTATTATTTGTAGTATCATTATTTAATATTATGTACAAACTAAAAGAACACAATGTCGATAACTAACGATAGCCATAAGAGGAAACAAATTCTGATTTTCGTAACTTTATCTCTCTTTCACCGTACGCATTCGTCTTACGCCCCGTTATAAGTTTATCGACTTTTGTAACTGTCAGACTGTTGAGAGAGTTGCGCGCTTGGTAGATGGAAAGAGGCGATCAATCAGGTAGAAAGATTTCCAGTTAATTATCGCAGAAATACGCGAAGAGGAGCGTGTGTTCGTGACATCGAGGTAACAATGACAAATCTTGTAAAGTAGTTGAACGTTCATTGGACAGGAGCGCAGTGTTTACGAGGTCGAATAATTGAATCGGCCTGGCATGCAGTGCAACGCCTGTTAATTCCATGGAGAAGCCAGAGCAGGCGATTAAAACGCATCTCCGTGAAGGAAAGATAATTGGCACAGATGCCCTTTGCAGGCCATCGGGTCGTTAAATGATGCGTTCTATCGTTCTTCCTAATTCGGACAGTCGATTCATCGCGAAACCGCGAATGTTTATTATGCATATTCAAAAGAAATTTAATTTCTTATAGCAAAACTGCACAGATTATACCTTGTACGTTGCATATGATAAAATTCCAAGAAAATTTACGTACGGCGAATTTTTAAATTCGATATATTATTAATTAATTTTACACGGTTTACAGTGGAGTCTCGCTTATTCGAGTCCCGTTTAACCGAAGGTGATTTGAATTTTACCATAATTTTATTCTTTTCCCGAATTTTAACGCGAGGAGTAGGACAGATAGTGGAGATATTGTGAAATCAGCTAATCAGACTTCCAACCGATTAAGCAATGTGTTAAACCTAAGTACGTGTACGATGTTACATTATCAACACTTTGCTATGATTTTATTATACGATTTATAAACGTTAATTGACCTTTCATATCCGAATTTGCGCATCACGTCGGATAATCGCGGCTTTTGTATTTTTATATTACTGTATTTATCATTATTATTATTATTGCATTTATTATTATTATTACTGTAACATTATATTACTATATTTTCATTGGATTTTCGGATTAGACGTATTTTTGTCGCTCTGTCGAACATTTTAGTAAACTTTCATTTCAATAATCTCGAACATTCTAAAAAATGTTAATGATTATAACATTAATTACGTCATTGTTTTTATATAATAGCATATTTCGTAGATGGACATATTTGCTCTAAAGTTTCAAGGTACCTCTGATTTTTATTAATATTTTGGTACTTGGTGCAGATTATAAATTATGAATTATATGCTGTTCTTTACTAAAACTGTTAATATGTCGCGCTCTACTTGCTTCCTTATCATATAAAATATGAATTATAGCTACAACATGATTCGTCTATAATTTTTTCCAATTAAGAGCAAATATAATAATTGACCGAGAAAATATCATAACATGCGATACTATGTTTATAAAATATCCCAGGTACAGTGCTTGATATAATATTTAGTGGATGAAATGCCGGATAGATACCATTTAATCAGGTCTATAAAAATACCAATTTGCATAAACATTTGCAGTAGATTCGTCATCGTAGAGATCTACATCGTAGAGATCTAGTCCTAACCCATAAAATAATACACTTGAAAAGGCCTTCGGATTTTTAATTAATTCGTTTCAATTAACCGGTTCCAAGAATATTTTGATAAATTTCTTCGGACAGATGTGACGTAAGACTGTACCCAAAATGGAATTTCGTCGAGGCGAAACTATTCTCAGTTGATGTTTAATGATGAAACATGAAAACATTATGACTATGAGTTGGAAATCTATTTCGTAATTTACGATAGGAATATTTGCCGTCTAATTATAACGGAGATTTCTATTATCAAAATACATTTAACGTGAAATATCCTCGACACGTAGTAAATTCTGTAGTTCATGGATTAATTTAATCGGTGAACCACGGGTTAAGGTATTTCGTGTTTAAGGAATTTGAGCGTTGCACAAACTTTGATATTCAAATGTAAATATTCAAATGAAGATATTCAAATGTAGTTTCGTCGTTCAGATGCACTATCAAACTCTCTGGTATAAATAGTCCAAGTTAAGCAACGTGACAAAGATTAATAGATTACGATACAATTTCCGTGTTTTGTTACCCAAAATCTAAAAAAACATTCTTTTGCACCTATACGTACAATATTATGTACTGTTAATAACACGGAAAATATGTTCTTTACTCCTCCCACATTTCCATAACATTGCATAAC